ATGAGAAACATGTGCACTAAGGAAATATTTTATTTGAGGATTAAATTAAGACTTCAGCTACAAACTCATAATACTCATATAAGGAAAAATAAAATAGAATTTGAACTCAACTACTGTTTATATGATTGTCACCAAATATTTTGCTTATAAAAACGCCTAAAAAGTCAAGAGCATAATTTTCAAGAATGCACATTAAATAAATATAACAGCAAATTTTCAAGTAAGAATTTAGCAATCAGATTTGCTGTTGACTTTACAGGGAGTCAGATTAGACTGCTTCATTTTAATAATGGCTTAGTCTGCCACATGAATGTTTAGGTAATTAAAAAATGATATATAGAATGGCAGTACTCAATAAATGTAAATTTAGTACATATAAACAAAAAAGTGGCTGCTACTCATAAGTGACTGTGTTCAGACATGTACATTTCTAAAATGTACTACATGTACTACAATTGAATTTCTTCTAAATATTTTTTTCATTTGATATTTTCAAGGTAAGGATAAAGGTTACATTGTTAGCCACTATAATCAAATTAACGTGGTGCTATACAGTATTTTGAAAATGGCTTTTGTAAAACTGACTCAAAAATACTTTTGTGCACAGACATAATGTATTTATTTTAGATGCCACTGAGTAGCTGAAGACTCTGCCCCTTTATTTTGTGGTGTTTAAAATGATTGTTTAGATTTTTAACCTATTCTTTTAAAAAGTCAAATAAAAACACAAAAGCATGATGATATAATCATATACCATAAGCTGACTTGTTCACAGAATTATAGCTACCATGGTATATCATTCTGTATCATGAAATATGTATTTCAGTGGAATAGACTCAAAGGCTTTTTAAATTTAAACCATAAACATAGAGAAATTTGAAGTACAATACATAAGATGCTTTAAATGAAGCCTAGAACATATAAAAAGTGCCAGTATGTTTCAACTTTAGGCAAATAATCATAGATCTAAAATTTACTAATTAATCTTAAATTATTTATCTTTTGATATTATAAATAGTAATTTTATGATAACAAAAGCTAATCACATTGAAAAGTGTTCCCCCCTTCATTGATACCTGGAATATAACAGCACTGCGACTACGTTCTTTGATTTGACTTAGGATGAATGAGTCTCTGTATGTAAATCAACGTAGTATACCTGAATTCTTACGGATAATAATCATACATTCAGCATACAATAACATTTAGCCTTTATGTGGATATATAACAAAGTCAGTATAAAATTTAAAGTATATTTAAAAAAAAAAAGTATCCATCTGAGCCAAAAAACTTTTTGGCTTGGTGTTTCATTTTGAAATTGTAAATGTTTATGACCAGTTAAATTTCAGTTATTTTTATAAAGTATTGCTTCTACACAGTGGGACATGAGACTGTTCAACCTTTATTTAAATCTCAAATTAAGACTTTTAAGGACTGTTTCTGTAGGCACTATATAAGGAGCAGTCACTGTGTTTAAACTGAATAACTGATCAGTTTCAAAAAGTGTTTAGTTATGAACTTGGTAGGTTCTCTGGTGGCTTATTACTTTTGTTTTAGGGGAAGATAAATTTCCTAAAGAATGTTGGAGCTAATATATATTCTTTGGGCATAATCATAAGAAAACATCTCCCAAATTAAAAAAAAAAAAACTTTTTGTGTGTATAACAAATTCACAGATTTAAAAAAGGATAAAGATGTTTACCTTTTTTAAACGCTGCATATTTCAAATGGAAAATACATAGTGTCCTGACTGAATACTACTTTTGAACTGTTAATCAGAAATAAAACATTTCATATAGATTTTTATATCTAGGATACAATATATTTCATATATGCTTTTATTAGATAAAAGTTAACTACTTCATATAACAAAAATAGCTATTTTAAAATTTCACACTCTTAAAACAAAAAAGTTAATATACAACTGAGATCAGTAACAGCAGTTTTTGACAACATCAGTCCTTAAAGGGAGCAGTAAAAGAAATTTGGTTTCTATAGTCAAAACAAACCGATTAAACTGTAAAATAATGCATTATAATTCATGCATTGCATATATTATACTACTTGTAACAGTTACTTTAGTTTATTGAATTGAAACCTATAGTTTTTTTAAAGAAATCAATTCTTTATTTACTTGTGATCATAGAATCTAAACTTTTTATGAGTCAAATGGTATAAGGCAGCTGTAATACATACCTGAGGAAGATTGTGAAAGCATTCCTCCCTATTCCTTCTAATAACTTTTTTAAACAGAAAAGAAATATGATAGTCAAATAATTATAAATCAGTTAATTATCATGAGATGTGACTCCAAACATTCTTCCCTTGAGAGTAACTTTCCGAAATGAGAACCTATTCTTAGAAATCTGGCTGTTTGGGGTAATGTGTTGGGAACTCCAACAAAGCTCAGAGGCAAAGTTTGCTGTCACAGATGATCTGTGTCTGCAGTGGGAGCTGGAGAGACAGTGGTGTCCATATTGAGGATTTGCTTATCTTGTTTTTATGAAATCGTTCTGAGATTCAGAGAAAGTGAATACAATTTACATCATGCTGGGCTCAAACATATGACATATGCAATGCCAAAAATTCCTGTGTGGTAGATATTTCTCTAATTTTAATAAAATATGGTATGTTATAAACAATTATTAGGTATGACATATTTAGAATTTATCCCTAAGATAATATATAGTGGCTCACTGGATGTAAGGAAAAAAAAATCCACAGGTTATAAATGTATGAGTGTTCCTATGAAAATGCTTGGTTATAACATTATAGTGATTTATTCTTATAATTTCCTCAGAAAGTAAATTATTAATTGCTATTGTACTAATTTCCCATGGCATGAGCATTCTGAGTAATGGCAAATTCTTAAGTTACAGATAAGTTTAACATTAATCATGCCTCTTTACAAAGCCATGATAGTGAAATCTATTTTTAAACAGTGCTTTTGAAATAAACTGTCTGATGAGTGTCTTTGTACTCTGAACATTTATATATATATTGTTTAGTATTTCTCTATTGTTTATCTTTAGTGAATTAAATATCTAAATAATATTCATGTAATAGCATATTAGACTTTTTACTATAGTTCTAATTACAAATATTAACTATATGATACAGTGTTTTTTATTCTTTAGAAATTAAACATTCATTTTAGCATTCAGATGATTACTTCATCACATTATGACGACTGATCACATATCTTTACCCTGACAGGTAACATGACCATTTTTAGATGGGGATATTATTGTATATATTTCAAAGACAGTACTTTAAATTAAATTAAGGTATTATTTCCATCATTAGGTATTTAAACCCACTTAGTCAAACTTCAGGAATGAATTTAAGATGCAAAGGAATTTTCATTTCCATGTCTTTAAAATTGAAAATGCTTAGCAAATTTTCTCCATTAATGTTAGTAAAAAATAGCTTAAAATCTTAAAAGGCAATCTAATGATAGTATCAACTTTTTCTCATCTAACAGTTGGTCTCAAATTAACATTAAATTTAAAAACATGCATAATAACAAGTTAAAGATTGACTTTAAAGACAACATTTGGGGCATTATATTTTCATAATAACTGTGAAACAGCTATTTTTTATTTAATATTTGAGAAGTAGCTGTAAATATTAGACATGCAAAACAGCATGCTATATATAGCTCACCAAAAATGTGCAAATGATTAGGTATAGAAAGCAGGTCTTCTTCATGTAATATGGTTCACAGTAAGGCAAAAGGCATATATGATTTTACTTTTCTTAAGAACTATCATTGGAGAGTTATCCAAAGTCTGAACACTAACAAATTTAACATAGTTGACTGGATCATTTGGAAAAAAAAAAAAAAAGAACATGTACATTATCTTTCAGGTCTTGTTTTTTTCTTCAACAGACACCAAATATACACACGATCCTATTTCTTTGGGCCCAGAACACAGTAGGATTTAACTGTGTGCTACTTTATGGAACACAAGCAATTATCTAATGTGGAATAAAAAGAGCTATCAAAGCAGGATTTCAATTTCAGTCAGAAATTCAGCAAGTTATGCTACAAGGAATGTTATTTGCACAACTTTTCTCTCAGGTATTTTCTCAGTGCAACACTGTGTAAGGTGGCAATCATAATATTACTATCTCTAATAAAAATAACCCGCACATTTTTTAGAGGTGATAGTAGCATATTGACAGTTTGCTTTCTGTAACTCAAAACAAAAGGAATGTCTTGAAATTAGGTGATTTCTATACTTATTAAACTTTTATCAGTGCATTAAAAAAGAGGTAGCTGGGGATCTAATGCATAAGCTGCTCTTTCCTTCCTGTATTTTTCAGACCATTTACGAGTTAGCTCTAGATAAAGGCTTGGTTTATGAGGCCGGTAATCCAGGTATACAGTATTACTAGTTCTTTTGGGAACAGCCTTTTCAATCTGAGTTCCTTCATGCCACTCATTAAAGGAGGTGATGGAAATTATACTGGGTTGGGCGTGGAGTGCAGCACTCAGAGCGGTCTCGTAGTATTTCCCATTGATTCGGTTGCGAGTATTCTGAGTGTTCCACGGACGGATGCTGGTATCTATGTATCCTGGGCCCACACTTGGGATAAATATCAGGTTGTACTGATCACAAAAATATTTTAGCTTAGCCCAGTTCTCATATGATGAGCCATAAGTAAAGCCATTTGTGGCAAAATATGTGTAAATTCCATTAAAACCACCTCGAAGAATTTCATATCTATGTTTGCTGTCCACTAGAAGCGCAATAAATAATGCATCATAAGGAGAATTGCGAATGCTCCGAGACCCTGAGCTGGTTAACAAATTGGCCCATTTTTCAGGAGTTGTGATATAGGAATCATAGACGTAAAACATTGGAAGAGCTTTGCCAGTCTCAGTCTTATACCTATAAAAGGCTGGGTGATTTCCATATCTAGAATACAAACAGGTAAAAAGCAAAGTGAATATACATAACTCATTTGCCATAGACAATAATTGTTTTAGTATTGAAAATGAAGGTAATCAGTGCAGTTTAAGCACTTTGTTCACCTTCTTTGATGAACTGGCTCTAATTGTAAAATTAAAAATGCATTTTTAATTTTACACATTGGGAAATGAGATACTGGATACATTAAGACATTACCAAACAAGGAATTAATTATATTATGGTTTAGAAATGATTAACAATAAAAAGCCCACTTTCTACATAAAAATACCACTTTTTTTGT